CTCTCTCTCTCTCTCTCTCTCTCTCTCTCTCTCTCTCTCTCTCTCTCTCTCTCCCCCTCTGTTTCTCGATTTCTTTTTTTTCTTTTTAAACAATTGCGTAAAATCGACTGTGACGAAGAATAAAATGGATTTGGGCGGTGTCGTGTTTGCAGTAGATCGGGACAGGCCCTCGCCAAACCATACGCCGAGTGTCCCAAGCGTCGCGTTCTTTCCTCTCGACTGTAGAGAACACCCTGAAATCCAACGTGCGGGCCACGAGGTGTTATTTATCGCGAGAGACTAAATCAGAAATGTCTTCGAGTGGGAGTCGCGCGGTCCATAAATTTCCAGACACGCCGGCTTAAACCGCAATGACGATTCCGGCCTGCGAGGTGTCCTCTTCTTCTTTTTCCGGCTCGAACGGCGCGAAAATATCCTCTCGTGTGCCGTGCATGCCGGCTGTCTGCGTGAGACGTTGAAACAATGCAAGTCGCTAGCGAAAAGCTGTACTCTTCGAGAGATATCATTTCGAAGTTGCAGCCCGTTTAACGTGTATCCTGCCGTTTCTCTCGCGGCGATTTATTTTCCGCTGTCACGTCTCTTTTCTCAAACGTCGTGTTCGCGTGAACGTTCAATAGGAGTTATCTATGATCAATGTATACTTTTAGATGCACCAATCACGTCTATGGTCCAAAATCCAATTTCTCAATCGTTGTATCCTGTGAACGCGGCCAAAGGAATTCTTGCGCGCGTGCGAGATTCGTGCAAACTGCAGCTGCACGTTAATGCACATATCATTAATTCTGCGATAAGATATGCATCAGTACGCTTACATATGTAAGGACCATGTACGCTTATGTAATCGTATACACCATCACACACTCACACACACACACACATACCATCGCTTTGAAAGCTCCCACCGTGACGCTGATTATCCAAAGTCCCAATTAGACAGCGCGCTAAGATAATAATCTTCGGGTACTCTAAGTACCAGCCGTGTTTGCTGATTTATCTCCCGGCGCATCAAACGCCGGCCAGTTGAGCGTCGGATACCGCTAAGTGGAATAACAATTCGGGACTTAACCGAGATGCAGTTTTGGATTAAGCGGGGAAGTTCGGTCTCGACGCTGTACAGTTTCGGAAATTGTAGGATTCGTTCGGAAAATGGTTAGCAGTCAGATTACCGCGAGGCTTGAGATCGATACCGTTGTTATATCGAAAGAACGGTTCCTCGAGTACCTATAAAACTAGATATCGCGAATATACGCAGAGGAGATTGGAGCATATTCACAAATCTTTTGGTATTAACCCGCCGTGTACAATGTTGAGTATGTGAAACCCGAACGAATATTCGAGGGTTCAACTCGCGTAAGAGTTCGGGACTTTCAAAATAACGCAAATCTGTTTGCAGATTTCGATTTTATTGCGCTACTATCTTATAGCTGAGAACTTTCTAAATCTCTGGAAAAAATATGTGTTCAAAGATATTGATTTTCAACGAAGTTATACGTGGTTCAAAGTTACAACCAGGATCTGACAGATCCAAATTGTACTGTATGTCTAAAGAATATAATTGTACTCGAAAGATTAAAACTTTCCAGACAAATGACATTTGTTATTGATTGTGTAAAGTGTTGTATCAACACATATGTATGATAAGTCATATGATGGATACAAAAAGTTGCTATCCACTTCGTTGGCAGACGCGTTTGCTCGGACACAGTCTAGATTTGATGTTATACTCGTAGGAAAATCGGTTTGCATTCATTTTTTCCAATATAAAATGTGAGAAAGTGTATATAAATTATTTTACAAACGATCCAATCTGTGCTAAGTCCGTATTCTTATTTATATGTTAATGTAACATCTTGTACAAAGAAGATAGAGACAATCTTCCTCCATGTATTCTAGGTACAATTTCATAGACTGTTCTTTTTTCTGTAATAACGAATATACGAATATGCGCTATTACAGCAAAGCTATTCTGGTATTCTCTATAATCAGTATATTTTAATCAGTATAATATAATCAGTATATTTTAATTGAAATATTATACATATAATTGGTAGTTCAGTTATAAATATAGCACTGCAATCAACAAAATTTCATTTAAAAAAATCAATTAAGAGTAACTGTTCCCGTTATTAATCCAAATACAAGTGTCGAATTATATGTTACCGTACGCAAAATGTATGGAAGACGTTGATTCCATCGCCGCAAACTGAACACAAACTGAATTTACGTACAACGTATAACGAATTTGTACACTACACATTTTGCAGTGATATTTTATTTCCAGTCGGCAAAATCAGTAAGACAGACGATAAAATAAAATGGGAGTGTTTCTACTAAAAATCAGTGAATATTCATTGATTTTCAATGAAATACTCGTCCTTTTTTCTCTGTAAAATGTTATTTTTATCGATTTAGTCAAAAACATTTTCACTGATTCACTTTAAGAGAGTATCAAGGTAAGCTTGCAAGCACAGTTGAGGATAGATTGACATCTTATAAAATATAATTGTGTTATTTTGAGAAACATTTTATCGTTTAAGACTTTTGTAATATATATAAAGATTATTATTGCTTTCGGAAAAAATACATTTTCGATAGAAGACATAATGACTTTTATTTTTTCACTTACATTATTTCATTCTTTAAAATTAAGATATCATATCCATTTTATTCCATCATATCGATCTGATATTTTTAACATTGCGCTAAGTTATTTATTTATCTCAAAACCAAAAATTATATAGCTAATCTCGTATAGTCGGCGAACATACTTAATCTACTTATTTGTTCCATTTCAATATTTTCATGTATGAAAATTACGCAAAACAATAATATCATACAGCTGCAGAAAACTTTATTCCAACTAATAAAAAAACCCTAAAAAGTTTGTTCATTTATAATTAAAAATATTAACAAGAAATTGCGAGACACTCAAGAATTTACTCAACAACTTTTGAATCAAAATTTTATTCTCTTAATCAAAATATTTTTCTGATTTTAATGAAATTCTTTCAAAGAAGAATAATCTAAAATAACATTTTACAATTTCATCATTTCTCTCATATACGATATATATATAAACGACCTACCCTTTATGTGAATCAGCTCCGATTTCTCCTATCGAATATCGTGATTAGTCGGTTGAGTTATCTGACAAGAGCAGGAAAGACAGTTCATTGCAATTCCATTGACAGAACTCACGAATGCACCTTTCAGATCGCGAAAACGGGGGGATGAAAACTTCGTTATTCTTTGGTTCCCATCGGATGCTCGTAACTAACGACGGTCTCGTTGCTGTGTGCATTCCAGGTCGACCTGCGGCATCTCGCCCAGACCGAGGACTCGAATGAGATCGAAGTTGGGATCGACCTGACCGACTATTATATCTCCGTCGAGTGGGATATAATAAAAGTGCCTGCCACGAGAAACGAGGCGTACTACATATGCTGCGAGGAGCCCTACCCCGACATCGTGTTCAACATCACCCTACGCCGCAAGACCCTCTTCTACACGGTGAACCTGATAATACCGTGCGTGGGCATATCCTTTCTGTCGGTGCTGGTGTTCTACCTGCCAAGCGACAGCGGCGAGAAGGTCTCCCTGTCGATCTCGATACTCCTCTCGTTGACGGTGTTCTTTCTGCTGTTGGCCGAGATAATACCGCCCACGTCGCTGACGGTGCCGCTGTTGGGCAAGTACCTGCTCTTCACGATGGTACTGGTGACGCTGTCGGTAGTCGTCACGATCGCCGTGCTGAACGTGAACTTCCGCTCGCCCGTCACCCACCGTATGGCCAGGTGGGTGCGGGTGGTATTCATCCAGGTGCTGCCGCGGTTCCTCCTAATCCAACGACCGAAGAAGGACGACGACGACGATGAGGAGGAGAACGGCAGGGACGCCACCGGCATCAGCAACGGCGGCGAGATCGATAACGACGGCGTCGACGACGACGAGGACGACGACGAGGACGATATCGAGACGGCGAACGGCAAGCCACCCGAGGGCATCCTTACCGATGTGTTCCATGTACAAGAGACTGATAAGTACGATCCGTACTACGGCAAGCGGTTCAGCGGGGAGTACGAGGTGCCGCCGCACGGCCTGCCGCCGCCGCCGCCGCACGGCCTGCCGCCGCCACCGCCGCCGACCAGGCATGACCGCGGCGCCGTCGGCACCGTCGGGCCCTGCTTCAGGGAGCCACTACCCTCGCTGCCATTGCCCGGGGCGGACGACGACCTCTTCGGCCCGGCTAGTCCTGGCTATCCTCATGAGGACGTCAGCCCTACGTTCGAGAAACCATTGGTACGCGAGATCGAGAAGACCATCGACGACGCCCGCTTCATCGCCCAGCACGCCAAGAACAAGGACAAATTCGAGAGTGTGAGTACAACATTGTTATTGCATATTGTTGTCCATTGTTGCTTGTTGTTGTTCATTCTTCTCCTTTCGCTTTTGCTCCTTCTTTTGCTTTCTTGACTGTATCGACTCGCTTATGGTTCACGGTGAATCATTTTCGCTTTGAGCTGTTCCGATAAAGCTCAATTCGAATCAGCACTGCTTGAAAGCAGTCTCACGATGATGGTACATGGAAAGAATATTATAACCTTTTTTTATCAACTCTTTTTAATGTTAATATGTTTTCTTTCTTTTATAAATTTTATTCAATTTTATTATATCTTTTTTATAGGTCAGGAATAAACTGACAGTAAAAAGTTGATGTGAGGAACATACTAAATTTAACTAAGAAACATAATTAATTAATAGTAGACTTTAGTTTCTAAAATATAAATAGCATATATGAAATGAAAAGATAATAGATTAACACGTTCGCTACTGTAGTTTATTTGAAAAACCGTCACAGTTTATTCTCTATTTTTTATATAATAATAAAATTTATATAATAATAAAAATTTTGTAAAACTATTATATATATATATATATATATATATATATATATATATATTCTTGTGATTTTTTGACATTTTTTGAAATTTCCGAGTTATAAAAAATTAAATCTTTTCAGTCAGTAAAATTAAAAACGGAGATTTTGAAAACGAATTACAAATATTTTAAAACAATGTGTTAAACAGATTTACATTTTTCATGAAGGAGAGAAGTTTATTCCCCGGCCATAAAAAAAGGACTAATTGGAGTTTTATCTCAAAAGTTTCTTACGACAAAAATAGTTGTTTAGTATATAATTTTAAAGAAAGACTGTTTTCTTTTTCAAAAAGTTCCTCCCCCGAAAATCCCTGTTATTAAAATTATTAACTGTGTGCGCAAAATTCCATGAATCTTCTCGCAAGTTTTACAAAGAACCCGTCCTAATTTGAAAATTTCAAACAATTTCAAAAAACTTCAAAAATAGAAAAGTCTCTTTTTAAACCTCTTTTAAAAAAATAAAAAAATTTCGAAAAAGAAGCTTGTCTCCCAAAAATTCTTAAGGTTGATGTCAAAATTTTTGTTACTCTAGAAGGGGGTAAATACTATTTATTTCTACTAATTTCAAATCAGCTCAGAAGGAATCTCTCTAAGGAAACATTCCTAAATATCCTGCACAATATTATATTATATTAAATATAAGTATGATTATCATAAAAAATTGTGCATAATGAGGAAACCGCGAGTTTATATATTTTTGGATTCAACGATAAAAATATATAAAAATCACATAAAAAGAACTCCATATGAATAATCTATTGGCCAGTGTTATCGATGTTATTCATATGAGACGCATCCGGAAACTAAAGATACAAAGGCTTTAAAAATGTAAAAAAAATATTTGTTTTCAAAACTTTTACTGTGTGTGTGCAAATGTATATATTATGTATATATAAATATCTTTATTTTTCTTTATATCTTTAGTTTGGACATAGTCTTCGTCCAAAAATGTATTAAATCTAGGAACCAATTTCTGTATATCCGAGTCATAGAGTCTTCTGCCAATCTTTTGAACCACGTCCTGATCCCTTCTTTCACTTTATCATCATCGTCGAACTCTTTCCGAGCAAGATATCTCTTTAGATGAAGAAACAAATGAAAATCACTGGACGTGAGGTCCAGACTATGTGGCGGATGATCCAAGAACATCCTACTTGAAAATGTTCAACAGTGCAGTCACACGGGGTAGTATCGTGCATTATTCAGAAAGCAGAAGCAAACAAGCACCATAATCAGCAGTAATTTGTCTGTGCATTTCCGCCGAGTGGTTACCTTTTCATACATACAAACACAGAAAACGTAGTATGAAATGAATTTCTCATTTGATGGGATTTTAGATAGGCGCCGCTATTCCAAACACTCGTTACTCACTACCAATTTGAGCAAAACCTGCTTTCGTACTATCAAACAGAAGCGAAATGGTCAAGGTCAAAGTCAACCACTACCGGCATAACAAATTTTTCTATATGATATGGCCTAGATGCGATGTGTTTTTAGTTTCCAGACACGCCTCGTACTACGTGACGTTGTCTCTCGTGAGAGATCAGTGCGTCACGCATAGCGAACATGTTAAGACTCCTGGGTATTCGTATCATCCATTTGTTTTTAATGACGTCAGAAGCGAGGAAACGCATACTAAAAATTTTTGCAAAATGCATTGAGATAAAAAGGTATATCTATAAAGCAATCTATCTTTTTATCTCAATATGTTTGCAATCTCCATCGTTTTACGTACAAAAGTATTCAAATGAGATAGTCAAAAAGTGAATAGTTTACAAGATTATTTCTTGTATTGAAAAGTAACAGAATAAAATATCTCGCGAAGTATTTACTTTTCGATGATTTTATCCCAGTATTTTTGTATGTAGATTGATTAGAGGAATTGATTTACGTTTAAAAAACCATGATTCCACTTAAAAAAATTAGAGTTGATTTTGACAGCGGTTTTCAATGTCAAGGTAAAAGAAATATTATCTTTTCCCTCTCGATATCCTACAACTTTTATTGGAAATATTTTTTCTAAAATGCATTGTTTTCGAAACTTAAGTTATATAAATACATTACTTTTGAAAAATTAGAGCTGATCTTGTGTGTGTAAATCGATAGAACAAATCTATAACATGATCCTTCCATTTTGCTCTAACAATCAATAATTTACCGTAAATAAATGTGATAGAATCATGCGAAGAGAGAAGTTAAAAAGATGTATTGTATGTCATGATAATTAACAGCAAGTTATTGATTGTTACAGTAAAAGGAAAGTGTTTGGATTATTTCATAGATTTACTCGATCGATTGTAATCACACAACACAACATCTAAAATCGGGACATAAGATGTCTCTCTGACATCGGAATACAAGACGTCCCTAAGATGTCTTTAAGACATCTTATGTCCCGATTTTAAACGTTGTGTTGTATAGGAATGTTGTTAACGGATAACCTTTCTCTTTATTCCAATATATTTCACAAGAATTTTTAGCATGTATTTCTTTAGCACATTATTAAAAAGAGATGTACGATACGAGTACCTATGAGTCTTAAAGGACAATGTCAATATACTTTTCTTAGTTAGGAGTCCCGCGACAGTGGAGAAGTGTGAAACTGACACCTAACTAATATATTTTTCTCACAAGGAAACAGAGGCAACCCGAAAATTCAAAAAATTCTGAAACATTCTGTGCAAGTAGAGTAGTTTATCCGTAACATAAAACTATTTTTTGTTTCTGCTAAATTTTTATTTAGGGGGATGAAACCTTCGAAAAAACATGACATTTTGATTTTTAGCGAATATTTTCCAAAATACAAAGCACATGAAACAATGATTTATGTAAAAGTTGTAGAGTATTTTATATTCTTTGCAACGTTGTATTCAGATTTTGCAAGAATGAAAACTTTTTGAACTCCTCCTCCCTTCACTCATTACCTTTACAAATTTTTAAGTTCTTATTAGGACAAAAATAAAAAAACATCGAATTCATATATCTGAACGCTAGAAAATTATTGCGATTAAATTTTGGAGAAATCGAGATGATAACATGAAACTATAGGTGGCGTGCTATAAATAGGTGTTTTTAGATTGAGCTGTACTCGATAACTGCTTCTTGTACATATTTTCTTATACCGCAAGATGATAAGAACTTAATTCTAATGACATCATATGCAATGTATTACATGAAATATAAAAGTGAACAGAGATTAATTTGCTTATATAACAATAGTAACATTTGCGTGTGCTTTACATATATCGAATACAGCTCAACCCAAAAACGCCTATAGCACGCCGCCTATAGCTCTATGCTATCATCTCGATTTCTCCAAAATTTAATCGCGATAATTTTCTAGCGTTCGGATATATGGATTCGATGTTTTTTTATTTTTGTCCTAATAAGAACTTAAAAATTAGTAAAGGTAATGAATGGAAGGAAGAGGAGTTCAAAAAGTTTTCATTCATGCAAAATCTGAATATACCGTTGCAAAGAGTATAAAATACTCTACAACTTTTACATAAATCATTGCTTCATGTGCCTTGTATTTTGGAAAATATTCGCTAAAAATCAAAATGTCATGTTTTTTCGAGAGGTGGTTTCACCCCCCTAAATAAAAACTTAGCAGAATCAAAAAAGTTTTATATTGTGGATGAACTACTCTACTTGTATACAATGTTTTAGAATTTTCTGAATTTTTGGGTTGCCCATGTTCCCTTGTCAGTTTCAAAATTCTGTAGCAATTTTTATTATAAAATTGTTTCCATATAAAGTCCAATATCGTAGCGGAAAAATGTGGTGCATTTTATCACGAGATATAGAGGGTGTCCCATTTTAATTTAGATACCGTAATACAACCGTAATATAACTTAAATTTCGAAAATAATGCATTTGTATAACTTAAAATTCAAAAGTAATGTATTTATATAACTTAAGTTTCGAAAACAATGCATTTTAGAAAAAGTATTTCCAATAAAAGTTGTAGGATATCAAGAAGGAAAAGATAATATTTCTTTTACCTTGACATTGAAAACCCCTGTCAAGATCAACTCTAATTTTTTAAAAGAGTATCATGGTTTTTTAAACGTAAATCAATTCCTTTAATTAATCTGCATACAAAAGTACTGGAAAAAATCACCGAAAAGTAAATACTTCGCGAGATATTTTTCTTATTTTATTCTGTTATTTTTCAATACAAGAAATAATCTTGTAAACTATTTACTTTTTGACTATCTCATCTGAATACTTTTGTACGTAAAATGAGTAGAAAAATCGATCGGTGATACTAATCTCTGCATACTGAATGTATCACTAAATCTGCAAAATGCACGGAATTTTGTTTAAAGTTTTTGTATATTTTTTGTGATAATTAATTTTACCCATTATTCTGCATTCAAAAGTATTCAGGTTATCGAAAAGTGCTATATTTTAAAAGATATTTCATATTTTATGCT